AAATCCATTCCTCTTACAGTGTTAATCCAAGTCTCAGATATAGCAATTATATTAAAAGAACGTTTTAGACTACTAAAGTAATGTTTTATACTCTGAAAGTTTGCATATAAACTTCTGCTATTAAAATGAATTAATGATAGCTTGTTCTCAGTCTTGACATTGCTGTTAAACTGCTCATCCGTGTAATACTTGCAGATTTTTTCAGAGTTCTCATAAAAATTTATCTCAGGGTCAAAGTCTTCGTCCGGTTCGTGATAATGACTTTCAGAATCTCCAGTAGTGTTCAGTTCCAGCTCCAGTCCCTCAAAATCTATTAACTTCTGTAACAATCCACTTGCATCATTCCCTACATTGGTCATACTTGTTGTTGATAGTTTCCACGCTCATCTGCCGTCGCAGATATCAATATATCTGCGTGACTCTTCAGACATGAGAGGGTCCAGCGACCTCTTCATCTCTCTGTCCTGGCATTCTGAGTTCACTGTAAATACTGAATCCCACCAACGTGCGTGAACCAGTGTTTGCATCAGCTCCTCTTCTTTTGCAGGAACCAGACAGTATTTTGGTAACATCGATCTGTTTGTGCTGTTTCACACGCTGTGTGGGTTATGTTAGACCGACCGACAGCCTGCGCTGCTGCATTGATGATAACTTTGTCAGATACACCGTTTTCCCCAGAGGAAAATGAATAGAAACACATGGGTCTGAGCTGAACCTGTAACTGGAATACAGCTAATTTGGTGGTTTATCAATAAATGTATGTAAATGTGAATTCACAGATCATCAATAAAGGAATGTTAAATATGAACTAATCACAGAAAGGCATGGTGACCTGATCAACAACAATTCAGGCATTAGGATATGATTTATTAAATATAAATTTAAAAAACCTCCAACCGAGCTGTTTGAAGAGGAACTAAAATATTTATTCGTTAAACAGTAAAACATACAACACTATGAAAATAAATACGTCCTTCAAAGCTGAGGCATCCCGTTGTTACGTCACCACCATCGCTGCCACGACTTCATTTGTATTACAATGAAACTCATTTCAAGTAGTCGGTTACATTTGGTACGAGCGGAGACGCCAACAGTGACGTGTGAAGTGTTTGTTTACAGGCAGACTCCAGAATGAGACAGTTCACAAAAGGCCTCACTGTTTTTAAAACCTGATTTGTGGAGGCCAATTCAGATAAAAGTGCTTAAAATGGTCCTACTTTTCTATTTACTGCCTATGTATATATATTTGTTTTCATTAGTTAGTCCCAGGCTCTGCTGCACTGCAGTGCTGCCAGGTCTCAGGCGGTCACACTGTGCTTCAGACGCTGCTGAACTTCTCCATAAAGTCCAGTTTAAAGGAACAGTTGGACATTTGGCAAATGCAGTGTGATCGATAGATAAGCATAAAGCCACAGCCAGCAGCTGCTCAGCTCAGCTTAGCACGAAGACACCAACTCTGCCAAGACAAAGTCCTGCACAGACCAACCAGTTCCACCACCACCAACATTACTGAGCATCAGAGGTGCCGACAGTGGATTGTGTTACATCTGGACAGAGCCAGGCTGCTGTTCCTGCACCAGACTGAGGTGAGAGCAGCAACAATCTTCTCATCTAACTCATATAGAGTTAGAATATGCTTATTCCCCACTAATCTTTTAAAATGTGCGTCCTTGTTTTCTGCCCCGCTAACAGTTTGGGCAGCCTGTCACAGATCAATACACAATTAAAATATTTGTTC